GGGGGGGGGGGGGGGGGGGGGCACCGAAGAGAAAAGGGTTGGGTGAACAAAATTTTGAGTGAGTAAAAGGTTGGGTAAATAAAGCAACTCAGTGGTTGGGTAATAAAAGTTTATTGTCATTTCCAAAGAATGACTCACTCAAATATTGAAGACTAAAAAGCAATGTCAACAGACATGTGTCCATACACTGTGTAAATCAATCAGAGTCACTATCTTGATCTTTTCTCGGATTTGTCAGGAGGCAAATGGTGTCTCCAAAGAAAGTACATGTGAAACTTTAGACTGCAGAAACTATTGCACAAGCAATTATCAAACTCATGTCACAGAAGTGGTAAAGGACATGTTTGACAACTGAATGGTATCCTTTTGTAACATTTTTGGCACGGGGTGGGTATCTACTTTTTAATAGACCTTACCGATTATTCTCTTTTACCAAATGGCCTCGTTTTCATGTCAAATACTTGCTCATGTTTTGTGCTTAGTAGGGTTGAAAGTTACTTTGTTATTGAGCCCAATAACAGCAAGAAACAAATTCGTCCAGGAAAACATGGGAATATAATCTTTATCTGCCCCTGACATGCTAAAATAAGTTAACATGGAAACGAGGCCATTGGGTAAATTAAAGAGAATAATCGGTAAGGTCTACTGATATGAGGTTGGGTAGCAAAAGTTTTACCAAGAAAAACATTTCTCTTTTGTGCCACCCCCGCCATAAATAATGACCGGTACCTTATCATATTAGAGAGAGATTTATTTAATTTTCTTTGGCTTCTGTAAGTAGCAACATTTCAATAACATGCAGGGAGTTTAAGATCTTGACGACGAACTACCGACTGCGTTTGAAATAGTTTTTGTTATATGTATGCAAATACTAAATGCTTGTCATAACAAATTTATCTCAAATATGTTTTATGTGCATGGTTTTGGGTTCGGTAAGTTTCATCTTTTAATTTCAATCAATTCTTTATAAAACTCCAACGTTGCGTAGTCAGTTTCGGTGCTATGTTCTTGATTCTGTTCTACAACACAAGAATGTGATTTTTACGCTGTAGCCAAGGTCGCTACAGTGAAAGGTATGCTCTGGCGATATGTAAATTTTGTCTGCCTCTGGTTAAAGCAATGCGAAAACCGTACACCGTAGTGACCGTACCCGTCATTGGAATCTTAAACTCCCTAACAACATTCCTGAAGACAACCCCACCGCTGTCGTGCAATGCTTACCATTGTAAGATGCAACTTTCGCTTATTTTTGGTATCAAATTCCCAGTAACAGCGAACAAATTGCCGAAAATAATAAATTCATACTTTAGGGCGCCGGGCATAATTTGTTTTCAAACATGCACAAACAAGATTAAAAATACATTTAGTTGCGAATTCTTTGTCCGCTAGCCAGTGCAGCATAAATGTTTGTCTGTGTAGGTTCTGAGCAAAATCTTAGAGGCCGAAACTGACATGTTCACCAAGCTAGGTTGAAGGTTAACAGAACACCGTCACCTTTTTGTGGTAAAGTTCTTAAATATCCCGGCGAAGAGCGAGACATTAAAGATGGGAGCTTATTACCAGGGGTCAATTATTTGATATTAGAATTAGGTGTAATCTCATTTGTTACAGCCGGCGCAATGCAATGTCTGAATCCGGCATAAGAACTGGACTATTATAGACGTATTGGTCATGCTTTTACTATTTTACATACATACGTCAAGAGGCAAAACTATTTAAGCGAAACAAGAGCACTAATACAAGACTACCACGGAATGTAACTGTGATAAAAAAAACCTGGTAACAGACGAGCAAGTTTTCATATGACCAAGTTTTTATTTGGCAAGTTTTCCTTTGTCAACAGACATTTCCCCTTATGAGTGAAATTTTGATCTAGATATGCCTGGACAAAAATTTCATCACAGTTTGAAAGAGCATCACAAAATTAGTAATATTCCAAAGCTTAGTTTCGTTGCGAAATGTTGTAAAATGCGGATAATATAGCCTTGCGAAGTTTGCCGTTTTATTTTGTATTACAAATGGGAAATTGATAATCAGATGATCACACTGATTATCAATTTTCCGTTTGTAACGCAAAATGACTGAAAAACGGCAAACTTCGCAAGGCTATAATATATTATCCGCATTTTACAACATTTCGCAACGAAACTTCGGAATATTACTCCTATATGCTCTTTCAAGCTGTGATGAAATTTTTGCCCAGGCGTATCTAGATCAAAATTTCACTCATAAGGGGAAAGGTCTATTGAATACAAGCCGACTTGTAGTCGCCTTGAAGCGAGTCTGGTCTACACCATCTGCTGCGGCACGACAGTGCTCGGTGAAAGTTGCGGAACCCACACATAGGCCATGTTGAATGAAGAGATTTGTAGATGGAAATTTCGAGCGGAATTTTTATACATTTATTAGACCTAACCAGGAGCAGTTGTGAAAAATACAACTATCGCCCCTCTGGCAGGAATTGAACCTAGTGTGCCATGCGATTCCAGTGCAGCGCTCTACTGAGCTACAGAGAGACAGTTGTCGAGCTCTAACCAACTGAGCTACAGAGAGACAGTTGTCGAGCTCTAACCAACTGAGCTACAGAGAGACAGTTGTCGAGCTCTAACCAACTGAGCTACAGAGAGACAGTTGTCAAGCTCTAACCAACTGAGCTACAGAGAGACAGTTATCAAGCTCTAACCAACTGAGCTACAGAGAGACAGCTGTCGAGCTCTAACCAACTGAGCTACAGAGAGACAGCTGTCGAGCTCTAACCAACTGAGCTACAGAGAGACAGTTGTCGAGCTCTAACCAACTGAGCTACAGAGAGACAGTTGTCGAGCCCCAACCAACTGAGCTACAGAGAGACAGTTGTCGAGCTCTAACCAACTGAGCTACAGAGAGACAGTTGTCGAGCTCTAACCAACTGAGCTACAGAGAGACAGTTGTCGAGCTCTAACCAACTGAGCTACAGAGAGACAGTTGTCGAGCTCTAACCAACCGAGCTACAGAGAGACAGTTGTCGAGCTCTAACCAACTGAGCTACAGAGAGACAGTTGTCGAGCTCTAACCAACTGAGTTACAGAGAGACAGTTGTCGAGCTCTAACCAACTGAGCTACAGAGAGACAGTTGTCGAGCTCTAACCAACTGAGCTACAGAGGCCAGTTGTCGAGCTCTAACCAACTGAGCTACAGAGGCCAGTTGTCGAGCTCTAACCAACTGAGCTACAGAGGCCAGTTGTCGAGCTCTAATTACAAGCTCTTGCATATACCAGTATAAATTATGGGTACATAACACTATTTTCGTAGAAACTGCTGTGTAATTGGGTGAAGTGATCAAACTAAACTAACTTTATTTATACTCGAGAGACGTTTATCAATTCTAAACTTCATGTTTTTCCTATAGAGGTCCAGTTTGTATTTTTATTTGCACGCCCCCCCCCCGCTCATTCGTCTGGGGTTAGCCGTAGCCCTGTCGACATGAAATCACAGATTTAGCCGGATCGCGGAGCAGGTCATGTATAAAGACGAAGTTAGGTCAGGCTCTGGAGTTTGTTGTGAAAAAAATTATAGTGCTTACCAAGGACTGGCGTCTATTCAAGAGAACGGTCAGGACTAAAAGACCTCCAGTGAGAATGGTCTAAATTAAGGAAAAAACGGTCAAACGTCCGCGAAATAGTATTGTCTAGAAGTCCTATAGCAAAAAGTGTAAAGAAAATTACGAGACTGACTTAGACGAGAAAATTACGCCTATGTTATCGTAGGTGAGTTGTGTGCTTGATTTACACATTGCAACTCAAGTTGTAAGCAGGTTTCAGGCGACAGTTTTAGACAAACGTTGCATGCATGTGTACGTTAAATCGGCCTTCATATATGTAAATGTGAAATAAAATATATTCAACGTGATATATATATATATATATATATATATATATATATATATATATATATATATATATATATATATATATATATATATATATATATATATATATAGTTTTTCGTTTTACCTCAAAAAACCACAACAGTCTGTTTCATCCGTATAGGAATTTACTTGTAAGAATTGTGGTTTTTTGAGGTAAAACGAAAAACTATATTACGCTCTATCTGTATGGTATTGAGCACTGTTTGTGTTTCGTACATATATATATATATATATATATAAATAAATGCACGTACGTGATATACCTAGCAGAAAAATAGCTCAAATATTTGTCTGATGAACTTGAAGCCCTACAGAAGCGCGCCATGAGAATTATTTTCCCATTTGTTTCTTATTTTGAAGCATTAGAACTCGCTAAATTAGAGACAGTGTATATTCGTAGACAGACTCAAACAACTAACCTTTTTCAGGAAATTAGTAATAATCCAGAACATAAACTATATCGATTTTTACCGAAGTTAAATAAATGTAATTTTAAGCTTAGGAATACTGGTAAATTTCAAGTTCCTGTCTGTAAAACTAACAGACTTCAGAACAGCTTTTTTTATAGTAATTGTACATAGTTTAGTCGTACTTAGATCTTTTAATTGTATTTTTGATGTTATTGTAAATTCCTAATCTAATTCAGCTCAATTTTGGCTGTAAATTTTGGGATCATTAAACTATCTATCTATCGCCAATCTATCTAGCAGGCATAGACATGTAAATACAGACTTTTAACTTAATAATCCATTTAATAGTGTATTTAATTAAATAGTCCTTTCAACCCCCGCATATTTCGATTAATTGCAAGCTTATATACTATATTTAGTTTTCAAAAGAAAACGTTTAAGAGGATATTATTTTGTTTATCCCTGAAGGCAATTGCATCTGAATAATTAGATCAGGAAGTGAAAAAAGTTCAATCTAATGTTAAATGCCGTAAACTGTATAGTTAGCCTATAACTTTCACATGCACGATGGGTTTATCCGCCATTTTGGGGGTACTGTTGATGAGAGTTGATCAGAATCGAGAACAAGAGTTGATGAGAGTTGCCTCACTGGATATTACCGCGCAATAGCGAAAACTCGTATCAAAATTTGAACCAGTTCAAAATTGGTTCAAACTGAGAATGCCTAGCGAGAGTTGCAACTCTCATAAATTTTCAACCTCGTCACGTAAAATCTTATAACTTGTCAAGAAGATGTGTCCACAACAGGCTTGTATAGCAAGCTTTTCAAGGCCACCGTGGCCAGGTATATTTTTTAAGCCATACAGGCGAGCCATATATACAGGCCAGCCATACAGGCCACTGCGGCCAGGCATATTTTTCAAGTTTGCCCAGTGTGGATATACACTCAGTGTCACAACACAAATATCATATTCACCTGAGTATACATTACACCAACACAGAAAATTCAAGTTGCAACAACGCTGTTATTTCATCAAGTTGCTACAAGGTAATTGTCACTCACAACTTCTTGAATTTCAGGACGATAGTAAGTTGTTGGAACAATTGCAACAAGTCTGCTGAGTTCAACATGCAACCTTGTAGCAAGTTGTCGACAAGCCATTGACAACTTAAGCTTGGAACAAGTTGTTGGAACAGCATTGCTACAAGTCTGCTGCAGGTTTGTCACAACTTGTGCGTTTTTACGTGATATAGGCGCCTGATCTAAGATCAGTCGATGTGCATGAGAGTTGAGTCAGACGGTCAAACGCGAGCGGAAGTTGCAACCTCTCCATCTACTGCCCATATGTTACTGGCATGAATACCTTGATATGATTCATTTCTTCAAAGTAATTCATGGCATTACCAGCTCGTCCTTTGCCTTGCACGCCAAGACAACAAGACATACAAGATCGTCCACTAACACGAAAGGTGTAAAGTACGAAGTCCCGCGGTGCAAAACAACAACCTACCAAAAATCATACTGGATAAGAACCATCAGAACATGGAACACGTTGACGGTAGTACTTGACTTGAGTATGGAGAACTTCAACACATTCAAGTCTGTAATGCGAGAGTACTACCATACTGCATTAACGAACACATACGATTGTCGTGATGTACGAACTTTTAAAACGATTTGCCCGAAATGCAATAGAGCAAGGACTTTAACGAACTCGATGAACTGTTGTTTTTAGTCTCTACGGTTTAATTGTTATTTGTGCTATTGATATTTGTCTCTTAACGTTTTGGGCCCGCAGTAATTGGTTTCAGACTGTTGCGGATACCCAACCGTCAACTCAGTTTATGTCATTGTGTTATGTATGTATTATATGTGTGTGTATGTTTCTGTACAGTAGTGATGGAAAAGCAATTAAATTAAAATTAAATTAAATTAAACCTCCATCAACTTTCATCTTCATTTGACTGATTATGGTATCTCCTAGCGAACACCTACCGGTATTCCCGCCCAATATTGACAAGTGAAATATCCGAAACTACGAACAAATGCCGAATCTCCAGTTAATAAGTTAATAGATTTATCTTTATGCCTGATGCCAGGATAAAAATACCAAAACAAAACACCAAGCAACCTGCCAGACCGACAAGAAAATGCAGCCTTGTTCGAAGGTTAGCCATATACTTATATGCTCTTCTATGACTTGGTATTGTTTCTTCAATTTAGTAAATGCTCACAGTATCAATCTCGATGCGATATGCAAGATTAAACAACGGAATGTTTCATCGCTGTAACATTTTAAGCATTTGCGACTGATTTGAATAAATCAAGTGTTTTTAACCAATCAACGTTGGTGCTTGTTGTTTCGTTCATTTCTGCGCGCTGGACCAATGGACGGTAGTCATTAATTTCTGCATTCCTTTTATATCTTTTTAGGGTTTGTTCATATGTATTTCTGCCATCATGACCTGATTGTATTCCGTCTGTTTTAAAGCCAGCCGCTCACAGTGCAGTATATAAGGTAAATTATTATTATTGTTATTATTAAAAACTTTGTATGTTATCCAAAGGGCTTTTCAGCATACAATTACAATATGCAATTTAAATTAAAGCAATACTATACTATTAAAAATCTAAGTTACGATTGTCTATTAAAACCTTCATATATATGATACTAAGAATTTAAAAGGCGTTCTTTTAGTTTTTTTCTTAAAAACCTTGAGTTCTGGAATCTTTTTCAGTTCATCATCAATATCGTTCCATATCTTAACTGCGCGATAATGAAATGTTCTCTGCCCTGCAGTGGTCTTAGCTTGGAACATTTAAACAGTAGTTATTTCTAGTCTGGCAATTATGAATATCAGATCGCTTTGTGAATTTATTTGCAAGGTAACTTGGCGCAAGGTTATTCAGACATTTATAAGCCATTATCGTGTCTTTGTAAATAAGTAAGTTTTCAATAGATAGCCATTTAAGTTCTTGTATAGTTTCGGAGAAATATACATTATTCACCACTCATTTATATACAGGATTTTGTTGGCATCTGACTTGATTGAATAATAGTTGAAGGGTTTTGTAGATGGAAATTATCGAGTGGAAATTCTATATACATTTATTACACCTAACATGCAGGAACAGTTGCGAAATATGCGACTACAGGTCCCTGGCAGGAATCGAACCGGCGGCCCTGCGATTTCGGTGCAGCGCTTTAACCGCACTGAGCTACAGAGAGACAGTTGTCGAGCTCTAACCAACTGAGCTACAGAGAGACAGTTGTCGAGCTCTAACCAACTGAGCTACAGAGAGACAGTTGTCGAGCTCTAACCAACTGAGCTACAGAGAGACAGTTGTCGAGCTCTAACCAACTGAGCTACAGAGAGACAGTTGTCGAGCTCTAACCAACTGAGCTACAGAGAGACAGTTGTCGAGCTCTAACCAACTGAGCTACAGAGAGACAGCTGTCGAGCTCTAACCAACTGAGCTACAGAGAGACAGCTGTCGAGCTCTAACCAACTGAGCTACAGAGAGACAGTTGTCGAGCTCTAACCAACTGAGCTACAGAGAGACAGTTGTCGAGCTCTAACCAACTGAGCTACAGAGACAGTTGTCAAGCTCTAACCAACTGAACTACAGAGAGACAGTTGTCAAGCTCTAACCAACTGAGCTACAGAGACAGTTGTCAAGCTCTAACCAACTGAGCTACAGAGACAGTTGTCAAGCTCTAACCAACTGAGCTACAGAGACAGTTGTCGAGCTCTAACCAACTGAGCTACAGAGACAGTTGTCAAGCTCTAACCAACTGAGCTACAGAGACAGATGTCAAGCTCTAACCA